AAGCTATTCCAAAATTTTTGGAATTGGTGATATTTGCCTAAGAACTAATCTCGGCTGCTAGTTGATGTTGAAAGATATGAGACATATTCCTGATATACGTCTCACTCCATCAGTACCCTTGATCGACAAGGTTATTATCACCATATTGGCGAAGGAAAATTGAAACTTACTAAAGGCTTAATGGTGGTAGCAAGAGCATGACTTTGTTGTACGTTGTACTGGTCAAATGCCAAGGTTTTGAAAAGTGAGTTGAATGCTGTGGAGGACTCATCTCTAAACTTATGGCATAAGAGGCTAGGCCACATAAGCGAGAAAGGCCTACAAGTTTTGGCAAAGAAGTATCACATTCCCTTTGCCAAAGGTACGTCATTAAACTCTTGTGAGCACTGATTATTCGGAAAACAAAGAAGAATTAGTTTTTCTGTTCCATTTACAAAGAAAGGAAATTTGTTAGATCTTGTTTATTCAAATGTGCATGATCCCATGGAAGTCGAGTCACTTGGAAGAAATAAATATTTTGTTACTTATATTGTTGATGCTTCACGAAGGGTCTGGGTGTATTTGTTGAAATCCAAAGATCAGGTGTTTCAGACATTCCAGGAGTTCCATGACATGGTGGAGAGGGAAATTGGGAAACCTCTCAAGTGCCTTCGTATCGACAACGGTGGCAAGTACACATCTCACCAATTTAGAGAGTATTATGTGAAACATGGCATACGTCATGAGATGACAGTTCCTGGAACTCCACAACATAATGGTGTTGCTGAAAGAATGAACCGAACCATCATGGAGAAAGTCAGGTGTATGCTGAGGACTGCAAAGTTATCTAAGCAGTTCTGGCGTGAAGCTGTAAGGACAGCCTGCTATTTGATCAACCGATCTCCATCAATACCATTAGGTCTTGATGTTCTAGAGAGAGTATAGACTAGTAATGATGTGTCTTACTCTCATCTGAAGGTGTTTGGTTGCAAAGCTTTTGTGCATGTGCCCAAAGAGCAGAGATCTAAGTTAGACTACAAAGCTACACCATACATATTTCTTGGTTATAGTGGTGAAGATTTTGGTTACAGATTATGGGACCCATTCCAGAAAAAGTTTATCCGAAGTAGAGACGTGGTCTTTTATGATGATCAAACAATTGGGGATTCGGATAAAAAAGCACAACCAGATGGCACAGTCAGAGGAGTTGATCCATTAGCTTCAGATGAAGAAAGTCACGATGACATCCCTGAAGCAGCTGCTAATTAAGTGCCTGTAGAACCAGATAATGTTGATCAGAGGGAGCCTGATCAAGATGTGCCAGACCATGAAATTGCTGATCAAGGAGAGCCTAGTCAAGAAGAGCAGACTTAATGAGAACCCAATCAGGGGAAGCCTCCAGCCCCGCAAGAGAATGAAGATCAGGTCAAAAGATCCAGCAGAAGTTGAATACCTTCTACCAAGTATTCTTCATTAGAGTATATAATGTTGACTAATTATGGAGAGCCCGAAACTTATGAGGAGGCCAGAGCTCATAACGATAGTGATAAATGGATGAAGGCAATGAAGTCAGAGATGGAATCCTTATTGAAGAATGATACCTATGAGCTGGTGGAGCTTCAAAAGGGCAGAAAAGTGTTGAAAAACAAGTGGGTGTTCAAATTGAAAAGGGACGACAACATGACAAGGTACAAGGCTCGTTTGGTTGTCAAAGGTTTTGGTCAAAAGAAAGGAGTTGACTTTGATGAGAGTTCTCACCGGTGGTGAAGATGACTTCCATTCGAGTTATCCTTGGTATGGCAACAAGCATGGATCTTAAGCTCGAGCAGTTAGACGTTAAAACTGCATTTCTCCACGGCAATTTAGAAGAGAAGATATACATGGAGCAACCTAAAGGCTTTGAAGTCAAAGGTAAAGAAGATTTGGTGTGCAAGCTCAAGAAAAGCTTATATGGTCTTAAGCAGGCTCCGAGATAGTGGAATAAAAAGTTTAACTCATTCATGGTGAGTAATGGGTACAAGAGAACTCATGCTGACTCTTGTGTTTATATCAAACAATTTTCTGGAGGTAAATTCATCATTTTATTGCTTTATGTTGATGACATGTTGATTGTCGGTCAAGATGTTTCTATGATTAAAAAGCTTAAAGAAAAGTTATCTAAGTCCTTTGACATGAATGACTTAGGGCCAGCCAAGTAGATTTTGGGCATGGAGATAATTCGTGACAGAAAATCCAAGAAGTTATGGCTGTCACAAGAAAAGTATGTTGAACGGGTGCTTGAAAGGTTCAACATGAAAGCAGCCAAACCGGTAAGCTCACCTTTAGCCAATCGTATCAAGTTGAGCAAAGAGTCATGTCCAAAAACATATGAAGAAAAGGAGAAAATGGCAGTTGTTCCCTACTCTTCAGCGGTAGGAAGTATCATGTATGCAATGGTGTGCACATGGCCAAATATTGCTCATGCAGTAGGTGTGGTGAGCAGGTTTCTCTCTAATCCAGGGAAAGACCATTGGGAAGCTGTTAAGTGGATTCTCAGATATTTGAAGGGGACTTCTAAGATGTGCTTGTGCATTGGCGGTTCCAAACCAATCTTGGAAGGATTTACAGATGCTGACATGGGAGGTGACCTGGATGGTAGAAAATCTACGTCTGGGTACTTGTTTACTTTTTTAGGGGGAGCCGTGTCTTGGCAATCCAAGTTGCAAAAGTGTGTTGCTTTGTCCACAACCGAGGCTGAATACATAGCCGCTACAGAAGCATGCAAGGAGTTGTTGTGGCTAAAGCGGTTTCTCCAAGAGTTGGGTTTGAAGCAAAGTGATTATGGCGTTTATTGTGATAGTCAGAGTGCTCTGGATTTGAGCAAGAACCCTACATATCATTCACGCACCAAGAACATTGATATTCGTTATCACTGGATTAGAGACGCTATCGAGAACAAGTTGCTACAGCTGAAGAAGATTCATACCAATAATAATTCTTCAGACATGTTGACAAAGGTAGTCACAAAATCAAAGTTGGAATTCTGCATTAAGGCTGCTGGGATGGACTCTAGGTAACTTGGAGTCATGATCGAAATTCCTCTCTCATGGATTGGAGAGGGAGATTATTGGTATACCATGGGTCCAGCCCATGATGAAAGACATTAAAGGTCCAACCCATTATAAAGGATGGATGCTAGAAAATTCTAGCATCTTATCAAATGCCAAGGAACTAGAAAAATCTGGTCCAAATATGCATGTCGGTGGAGTGCATGCATAAGCTAGAAAGTTCTAGTTGTTTGAATAATATTGAGGCTGCCATGCAAGCCTAAGTTAGTGGGCTTGTGTATAAGTCGGCAAAACTCAATTATAAATAGGGGTGCATGTATGTGTCATAAGGTGTGAAAAACCAAAGTAAGAGTGTTCCACTCCAAGAGTGAGGGTTATAAGAGTTGTTCCACTTCAAGTTTGAGAGTGAGAGTGTTCCACTACACATTGTGTGTGAGTGAAGTTTAGAGTGATAGAAAGTGTGTGTTATACTTTCTTGTATTCATCAAGCCTTGTCTTTGGCTTGGTAAGACTACTCTTGTTGTACTCATCTTTTTCATATAGTGAAGATTGATCCTTGTTTCGTGGACGTAGGCATAAATTGCCGAACCACATAAATTATTGGTGTCCATTTTCTACTTTACCTTTTGCATTCTCTATCTTGTAGTACCGACATTCCTAACAGATTGTGTACTTGTAGAGTTGTTAATTGGGAAGTTATGCGTGTTTACTAAGTGTGAATTGGTGATTGAGTTTCAATTAGGGCTCAACAGCTGATCACATTGATCAGAGAATTAGTCTTGTTTTATAAGATCTTATTAAAATTTGAGGGACGATCAACAACTGACGCCGGCTCACTCTCAAGGCTAATGCTCAGGTGAATATTCATCTTTGGTTTAAATTGTTCCTTCTTTTCTTTTTGTGTAGAAAAAATGTGGAAGTAGCGATGTAACCCATTTATTTTGACTTTTATTTACAGTTTGCAAATGAGCCGCACATGTCTAATGGCATGGTCAATTTGGACTACAAGGTCATCTTTCAATTTACATGTTTCAGTTCTTCAGGAACATTTTAGTGTACTAGATTGCCTTCAGCTTCGTTAAACTCTCCAAGCTTAGTTTTAGAAGTAGATGGTGGTTCTCATCTCATGTGTCATATGGATATGGTGCTCCTATGATTACACAGGGTTCAAACTCACCAATTTCTCCAAAATAACGACCTAATGTGAAGCAATAAGAAAGACTTGTTCATATTGGTGCATAAACTAGATGGCATGCAAGGTCACCTACTACAAAAAAGTGAATACAACAAACTGTCAAGCAATAAGAAAGGCTTGGTGCAGAAGTTAGACTCTGATGTTTTGAAGAGGTGGACGAGTGTTTCATTTTTTTAGTTTTTAATTTGGTTGTTCATTGACTTGTGTACTCAGTGCGATGTGAAATGTTGTGTTGATTTTTTATTTACGTTGCCGGTAATTTATTCGAAGTGTAATCGGATTACGTTGCGGATGGTGATTGAAAAGTAGTGGAGAGATTTTGTGGAGTTTGGGTTAGCAACTTAATGAGAAGTTGCTTAAATATTTCATTTTCATTTTTGTTGCTTCCCATTCCATACTCAAAGGCATTTCTTTACCGATAAGAAAGTCACTTTAGCCCGTTGGTACTTTAAGTTGGGGAGTTTTCTAACCGCATTTTCCCTCTCGTTATCAAAACAATATATGATGGACTGTTTATGGTAAAGAATGTCAGTTCTGTTGCAGAAAGAAAAAGAAAATGAAAGACTCAAATATCTTTTCTAGGTTAAAATTGATTTTGCTAAAAACTATACAAATTTGCTTTACTAAAAATTATATAAAATTGACTCTATATATATTTAAAACTAATTATGCAAAAATGATCGAGATCGGGTTGGGCTAATGACGTGTATGTAATTTTGTTCATGTTGTACATATTTGAAACTGATTCTACAACAATGGTTGAAGACGGGCTGAACTAATTCTAGAAAAATGGTCGAGAACGGGTTAAATTGATTCTGCAAAAATTGTCAGAGACGGGTTGAACTACTTTCTCCATATACCGTCGTTTACAAAACAAAAAGTAGAGCCAGCCAAAGAGGCAGCTCGACCTATCGATTTAATATGAACCCAAAAAACGAGTGGAAATAATTAGTAAGGTACCAAACTTCCAATGATATCCTCCTATGCAATCTAATGTAGAACTCCCCCTATCGAAACCTACCCGCCACCCGGAGAACAAAAATCGAAAACAAAAACAAACAACTTTCATAGATGCAAGTCAAAGCCAATTCCCTGAGGAGCAACCGGATCAGGAAATGACGAATGAGCAAGATGAAACATCTCTTATTTCCAAGAAGGGGTTTGCCAGAAGTCCGTTGCAATGTTGCCGAGGACCAATCATCAGCAGATTTCTTGAGGGTTAGTCCTTGCTTACTTTTTGGCCTGCCTAGGGCATCATCACAATAAGAACAAGAAAACATTAGTCAGCTTCGACCACTGGACAAAAATTGAACATTAAAAAAAGAGTGAATGTTGAGAGGCAAATCAACTCCGCAGACCCCTTTGAAAATAACAGATTGAAAAGGGGAAATACATTTTGTCCAGTGGCAGGTCCCTTGTTCACATTTAACCTCCGAGTCGATGGAGCCCGTGCCACTGATGAAGCAGCTGCAGCTGCAGCGACACGTATTCTGCAAAGAAGAAGAAGATTAATCCACTTTCAAATTATAACTTTCATACATAATTTCAACCAACTATTTGCTTTTGTCACTCTATGATACCTTTTATGTACATCAACATATTCATCTGTTTCATCCACAATCTCCTCCTGCATTTTTCAAGACAATCATCAATACAACCAAATAAACAATTTTCATTAACTGAAAACACGAGAATATCAATTTGTGTGAACATTACCTGCAGGAGTTCTTCAAATACATCCTCCAGAGTGATAATCCCAATGACTTCACCCTCCTCGATATCCTCTGATACCTGGAGCAAACCATTTGTTGCTTTCTCACTATGGGGTGAAAAAGTTTCCTTGTGTCTATGAGGGGGCTTTGGTATCCTGGGTATATCAACAACAACACTGTCCGGCTTTCCATCCTGCTTGGATAGCAAAGGAGTAGTCAGTTGGGAGTCCATGCCAGTGTCGCCGTTCCATTCATCTCTCTTTCCATCAATGGTTGGTCGAGGAATTTTACTTTTCGCTTTAGGCTTCACCACAGCAGCCATATGACTGCTGCCCTTTTGAAACTCATTCAATATATCATACAGTGGCATATCTGCAGGAACTCTGAGAATATGACCCACACATGAAAACCAGATATCCCATACTGTGTAGTGGAATTGAGAAGAAACAATAGCATATTTAAAGAAGTTGAAGCACACCTTGGAATTCTACGGATGGAAACAGCACTAACTGGGGTCTCTGTTTCAGGTCGTACAGTGAGAAGACTTTTCACCTAATCCCCAAATGAACATCAAGACCGGGGTTAAAATAAAAACATGAGAAATACCAATTACAGATGTGGTGAGTTTGAAATCCAGAGAACGAATGCATAATATCAAACTCCAAAGATTTAAGTTCTAACACCCACCAGCAGAAGTCCAATAATATTCTTTGAGTTCCCAGAATAGACAGGAACTCGACTATGTCCACGAGCAAGAACTTTCCCCATTGCTTCCCTGAGGGGGAAGAATGAAAATATAATTAGACATACTCGAGACTTACAATCTACAACTTTTGCTGAATTTACAAAATAACAAGATAATAGAAAGATAATAAGAATAAATGCCTAGTAGAGACGACTGCTTGAAAATAACAATGGTTGACAGGTTATCTTTCTGAAAGTTAATTGAAATCGTGAAAAGTTTCTTAGTAGGAGGGTTGGCTTCTAATTCTAATCATTTAGTACACTCCTTATTTAAGATGATGTTAAATGTTCCCTCCAAAGGACGTTGGCAGCATAACATACATGTGATTCTTACAGGAACCAATGGGACAGTTAATTGAGAAGGCGAAACACTAATTTTTCAGGACCAAAGCTTACCAGTCCAATTTTGAATTGACATCTAAGGAGAAGGTAGATTCGATAGGCGTCATAGCCTCCTCAGCAGTCTGTTAATATATGAGAAGAAAAATAAATAGGTTAAATTTGATTTCCCATTGCACGATATCTTTTAAGATTTATATCACTTAAGAGCAAGAATGAAATAGAAAAAGAATATACAAAGCGAGCTTCTAAAATATTATGTTCATGCTGAAGACTATCAACGGTCCAATATCATGAGTTTTAGCTACACGATGAAGTAGCTACTAATTGTTCTACTCTAATTAAGGGTAAACTTCACAATGTCAGATTAAATTAGAAACGGATAATAGTAAACATCTCAGTGGTAAATCCTATTCATTTTTTATGCATTGAAGGGCTAATATTCTAGAAATCACAAAAACCAGAAAACCACAACAGTTGAGCATCCAAAAGAAAGGCAGTTTCATTATGATGCGTACCTTTTCAGTTAAATCGAGGGCTCCACTAATTATCGTTGTCTCATCGTGTGTAAGCTCACCACCCTTGCCCTCCTATATGCGACATTAACAGAAGGCAACTTTCAAAAATAGAAAATCAAGAATAGTATTACCATTTTAGTTTCCTTACACAATCAAATGGTTTTACCAAGTCACATATTGATTCTGAATTATTCACTTTACCTCCTGGCTGTGGATGGAGACAAGGGCTTTTAACTGAGCTCGCCTAAATAATGCTTCATTATGCCCAAGAACACAGTCCAAGATCTGCAACACTTAAATTTCTTAGTGTCAACACATAGATGCCAAATCAAACAGCATCACCAATCATTTGCTATTTACATGACAAGGTGCAGAATGATATAAAAGAGAATTTTCAACTTCTAGTTAATTTACAATTCTATTTTTTATTTGTTTCCTTTATCCAGGCCTTTTTCATATGCGTGAAAGAAAAGAAAACTGATATAAATTCAAGCTTAATTACCTAAGAACTTGTTTTATACAAATACATAAACCTACGAGGAGAAATACGATTATAAGTACAAATTCCTACAGGAAGATCAAATTGCATGAACATGCAAAGCTAGTACTATCTAAAGTGAGGAACATGCCAGAGCAAGCAGAAGCATTAAGTGATAAAAACTCCTTCATACGTACAATTAACTGAATAGCCATGGCATTAGAAAAGTAACATCTGAAGCAGGTGTGATACCAAATTTTATGCAAATATGAACTATCAGCCAGAGACTATACCTTGCCAATTGGAAAAGCAATTGGATAGCAAACAAACATTAAAATTCTCACAAGCCACACAAAGTTCGAGCCAACAGCAAGTCCGTATCTAGTGCATATTGCTTGGGGAATAACCTGGAGGATCAAAATAAATGATCAAATCAATTCCAATTCAAGAAATCACGTGTGAGTATAAATTTCAAAACTAAGTGCTAGGTTACAACATACCTCCCCGAAAAACAGGACAAAAGTCACAGAGAGAATTATAGCAACATATTGATTGAACAGTTTATCCAAATATAAGGGAAGAGCCTGCAGAGCAACAAATACCAAAGTTAACAGCTGACATTGCATGTTCAAACTTTAAATGCTTAATGAGACGCTCATATCGAATCTACAAACATGATATCGTAACACATTCAACCTTTTAGCTTTCAATTAAATACATTCGGCATTGAATCACATCGACATTCTTGAACTAGATTAAATTAATTTCTTGCAAAACCAAATCCGATCCGAAAACAAATGCATGGAGAACGAAAACCGCTCCAAATCATAACAATGGAGTGCCACTTACCTCCATAGCAGCCGCATTACACAGAAGCAAAGTGACGAGCAGCTGGTGCTGCTTCTGAACCACCGGCAATATAATAGCTGAAACAAAAAACACAAAGTTTTCAGATACCTACGAAAAATTGGCGATTTGCGAGCGAAACGAAACCGAAATACAAGAATCGGCGAGAACCGATATGGATGAGGACGAACCTGCTTGTTTCTTCTCGGTCGGGGAGCCGCTGCGCTGCAGAATCTCGAGGTCGACGAGGCCGAGGGACATGAGGCCGAGGGTTAGGCCGGACATTATACCGGCGAAGATGACAAAGAAACAGGAGAGGCCGGCGTAAATGAACCACCAGGCGGATCCGAAAGGGATGGCGCCAATCTCTGATGCGAGGCCCGAGTTCCGAGTCAGCATCCGAGTCATCATGATCGCATTTATCGGATGCATCGCTGCTGCTGCTGCTGCTTCTTCTTCTTGTTGATCGTGGGAGTCTCTGTGTGTCTCTGTGCGTCTTTTAGAACGATAGAATCTGAGTGTGTGCCCAAGAGGAGAGGTTGTTGGTACTTTATGAGAAATTTTTAATTGTCACGCAACATAAATGATACACGTGTTTGAATAGAAATGGTAAGAAATTTTATTTTTTAAATTATTAATATTTTAGTACATATATTTTATCATTTTTATATAAAAATGACATATGATATATCATTCTGCGTATTACACTTGGTACTTTATAGGAGTGAACGCGTGGTGGAATCATATGAGGATATTGATTTGCTAGAATCCGTGATCCGGAACAGAACAGGTTTTCTGTACCTTTTTAGTACAAAGGTTTTATGAGCTTCTTTTTTATTTACCACCTTTTTACCCTTTTACCTTTTTAACTCCTCTTTATACAAGTGAGCTTTTGAAGAAAAACAAATAAATATTAGAAAATTGAAAATGTGTGTGGAGGAAAAATAGGGGATCAAATCTTTTGTCTCAAATAAGTGCGACATTTATGTGCTCTTAATAATTACTTGACACATATTAAATTTATTAAAACAAAATTAAGAAATTTAAGATAATAAATACGTGTCAGTCACCTATCCGGCCCATAGAGAGGCCATGCTTATTTTGGGTGTAGAAGATTTGGTCTCAAAAAATAGCATGTGGAAAAGTTACCAATCAATTGTTATTCGTAATTTTAAAAAGTTAATGTGCATGTTAAACATGTAAAACTAATATATATATATATATATATATATATATATATATATATATATATATATATATATAGATTGCTTAAGGGGAGGGATCCCCATTTTTTCAAAAAAATGGAGACACGCTCCCCACCGTTAGATTGGTTTTAATGAAATTGTGTGGTTGAGATTAAAACATACGCCGCACAATTTCATTAAAGTTAAATCCAATGGCGGGGAGTGTGTCCCCATTTTTTTAGAAAAATAGGGATCCCTCCCCTTAAGCAATTTGTGTATATATATATATATATATAAGCAAGGAGAGCAGAATAACTTTTTTACATTGTAAATAAAAGTAGCATGTTTTTTTTATGTACATATCTAAAAACACAATAAGTGACGTTATTATTTCACCCAAATTATGATAAGTAAATCTTTTATTTATTAATACATCCTATTAAAAATGGGGCATGTTGATCTTGTCGTATAACCAGGGACGAAGTTATAAATTTAACTAAGAGGGGGCACCTTAAAAAATTCGAGCTCCTTTTTTGGACAAATAAAGCTACTTCTTTTACAAATGCTGAAAAAATTAGTTACAAAATGCCTAATTTTATTACTCTATTGTTTAATTTTGTCTTTAATTGTTGTATTGACAATCAAATGCTCAATTGTACTAACTAACCAAATACATGCAACTCAATAAGGTTTAGACATTAGTGCATGAGAAATATATAGGAATGAAGTAGGGGCATTTAAAAACTAAAAGAGGATTTTCATTATTTTAATATGATTAATTGAATAATTTGTAAAGCAAAAAAAATGAGAATGATTAATTGAATAATTTGTAATGCGAACAAAATAGGATGAGAGGGGGCATGTGCCCCTACTGAGCCCCTACTGAGCCTTACCTCCCTTCGTCCATGCGTATAACATTAACATGTAAAGTAGTAAACCACATAACTTGTATTCTCTGACACCTATAAAAATTTATCGAATAGCATCTCCCTTTTTATTTATTTTGTTTGGAATGAAAAAAAGGAGAGAGGAATGTCGTGTCATGGGCTTCATAAGTGTTCACAATTAATTGTTACCAATCACTTATGTTTGGAGGGAGAAAAAAACACTTCACCATATAAGAATAAGAAAGGAAAAGTATAAGAATAGTTATGGTGGTTAGATTATTTTTTTTTTTTTAATATAGTACGTTTTGAGTTTAAACTTCATTTTAATTTAAATTAAAGTAGTAATATCGCAAAAATGAGTACTCTTCAACGGATTAAACTATTTGGGATTCACCTAACAATTTATGGTTAGCAAAACCGCAGAGAATTGAAGTTTATCAATTGTTGGGTGATGACAAAGATTTGGACACGTACATGGTACATGTTAGTTTCTTAAATGTTTACTAGTATATGGGCACACACAAAGTGTGTGTGAAAATTTTTTATTTTTGTTTTCGAAATAGAAGGAGATAATGTGGGAGTGAGAAGTTTTTTTTTTTTTTTTTTCATTAGAGATATGTTAGGATTATATGTAGGTGAGGCTTTGAAAAAAAACAGTAAAATTTGGTTGTGTGAAATTACATTTCTTCTCTGTATTACTTATTCATGTTCTGTTTTAATTAGAGGGTTAAATTGGTAATTTCATAGAACTTTGATTGACAATGAGTGTTTTATTAATTAGTAGAGATAACAAGAACACGTCGAACACCTAAACTACCCACCTTTCTAATCTCATATAACTTTCATTCACATCCAATGAGCAGCCATGTACATATGCAAATCCTAAGGAGTAAGCACTCCCATATGTTTATTTTCCTCTTAATTGTAACCATTTTCTGCATGCATGTCTCATCGTGCATGTAATTTGTTTGGACCGAAATTGGGCATAGGGTCCAGTCACAGACCAGTCTTTTGAAATAGCCTCACTTCTTGGTGAGAATTTAATCTGGACATAAAGGAAAAATAATCGTTCCAAAATTTGAAAGTACTTTTGGCGTGGCAAGTTTGGGCGGCAAGACCACCCTTGTTCACACGATATAAATAAAATTTTGCAGGCAGATTTTGTAGGAAAAATCACTTTTCAGTGGCAAAACTCGTAAATTCAAGCGGATTAAAGCTCAGGTATCCAAGTGAGGACTCATCGTTTGCCAATAATCACATTAGTCACTTGTATGAAAGGAAATGTATCAAGCCAAAGAGGCTTATTTCGCAAGAAAGAAAGCTCCTATAAAGGTAGCAGGAGAATTAGAGAAATGAACACTTAACTGAAACAACCAGAAAGACTTCTAAAAACTTTGCAACTTTTCATACACTCCTTTTGTAGTTTAAACACTTCCTTTATAGTTTTAGCTATGCTACTTTCCGTTTGTACCTTGTAATTGCAAAGAGCTTGCCCGACATGCCTCTAAGTTTGTTTGAATAGGCTAAAACTTTTTCCGATCATTTGTATTTGTCATTTACTTTCAAGCTATTGTCTTTCCACCCAATTTATTGCCATTTTAATTAACACTTTACGAACCTGCAAACTTTTTACCTTTAATTCTTGCTTATTATCTTCTTTGTTTTACTTTCTGTCTTACTCTTTCATAAATGATTGTAAGCTGATTTGGATCACTGCTGATCAGTTTGTGATTGTGTTTTTGGCATTTAACATAAAAGAAATTTAAAGTCCGTGTCTTCAAGGCATAGAAAAGAACTTATTATGGATTCAACTTCTCCATTAACAATCTTTTGATTAAGAGGCTCAGTGAACTTGTGGCACAAGCAAATGATCTATAAAACATCTAAATTCCATCTACAATATGTTGTGGTCAACAGTGGCACACCTAACATTTTATTAACTTTGTAAAATGGCCTAAGAGCCTAATAAAGGCTTCACTAAGGTACATTTCAAAATTAACAGGAGAGTCCATCACCAATGCATGGGAAGTTGTGCGAGATTCTTACAAACCGAACATAATTTAATTCATGTAGACACGCACATGGTACTGTTCGGGCCAGATCTGTCCCTCGCATAACTCCCTTTGTCTTTCCTGTCGGGGCAAGGTTTGTTGCTTATTCTTCTGCAATATACGTTTATTGTTAGTTTGCATGGTGCCTTTGTGGAGCCTTTATTAGGCCTTAAGGCTCACAATCAAAACTAACATGGATCTGAACATGCCATTGTTCTTTTTGTCTAACAGATTGTTTACTTGATTGTTCAATTAATCGATTTCTTGCGCTACAAGTCACTTTAACTTCTTCTATTTTTGGGATTGTTCATAGATGGGTTAAGTCTGCATTGAGTTCTTTTCTTGCCTTTTGATCAAGGACTTTCATTTATAACATCATTCGTTCGTTCACAAAGAAGTTCAAGGTCATTTACATTAATTCCCTAATTATTAGCTTAGGCGGATGTCAAGGAAACAAGAGTAATTAGTTTAATAGGATTAATCATAACTAAAACTTGAATAGAATTAGTTAAAAATGACATGAGGCTTAAATTAAAGATACAGAAATAACAGATCTATTGTACATAAATACAAATAAAGGATTCAGGCAAGATTACAACATTATTGGGCAAGGTTCGTCTTCTTGCAGACACCTCTCATTGTGTTTGACAGTGATTGCAATCTTGGAAAAGTAAATATAAATATAAACAAGGTTTACTAAAGGGATTCCATACTACAACAAAGGAAATGGTAACAAAGCTTCTAAAACTAGACAAAAGAGAACTTTATATGGTAGACCTACCATTCGAAAGGGACAAGGGATGAACAAACTAGAGCTTTTTTTTGTTTTTGTTGTTGATTGAATTGAGAGTTGCTTGATTGATTGGTTGAGATAACGTTTTTTCTCATGCCCCTCATGGCTTTTGTAGACTTTTGTAGCCTGATTGTCCAAGCCTTCCCTTTTGGTAATGGCTTCTAGAGCACGGTGAGTCATTATCAACTTTTGTTAATTACCTACCCATGCCACGGAAAAGTACTTTTTATTGAGGGTGAGCTATCCTTTGTCACTTGTCATTTCTTACATAGGCTAAGCCTATTCGTTGTAAAAAATGATTTTAAATTCCTCCTAGGCTGCAAACTGTCCAAGCCCAACCCCTTTCTGTTTTTTGCATTCCTAGGCTTTCAATTGTACTAAGCCCAACATTAAATATCCACCCAAACAGTGCCCTATTTTGTCACATCCCGACCCGGGCCCCACCACATCCCGATCTTGACTCTGCCTTAGCACGATATTGTCCGCTTTGGGCCCCGACCACGCCCTCACAGTTTTGTTTTTAGGAACTCACACAAGAACTTCCCAGTGGGTCACCTATCATGGGATTGCTCTCGTACGAACTCACTTAACTTTAGAGTTCTAATGGAACTCGAAGCCAGTG